TAGCTTACAAAAATGTATGTTATTAAACTAAAAAGATTAAAATAAAATTATTATTGAATAAACAAAAAACCCAACTGCGTAAAAATGAACTAAAAAGATAAAAACAAGCCTTAATGTTCACAAATGCAATCGGAGGCATCAATGACTAATTATTTTGTTGGTGATATGTATTTGATGCCTCCGACTGCATTTGTGATCACTAATGCTTGTTTTTATCTTTTTAGTTCATTTTTACGCAGTTGGTTTTTTTTATTTATTCAATAGGTAATAATTTTTATTATTTAAACTTTTAAGTAGAAAATTTTATAATTTTTTGCTGAAAGTAAAAATTTTTCATACGATGCGCTACCTCTGGGCCTCGGTTTGACACTACTACATATGTGACACCCTATAAGTATACCTACCAGCGTTGCCAGACGTCCCGATTTTGGCGGGACGTCCCGATTTTTAAATCAAATTTAAATGTCCCGCGCGGGACAGGCTCGGTCCCGCTTTTCGGAGAGAGACACTCACTTCACCAGACTATAGCGGAGAATAATTTGGTGGCAGGCCTTTGTTCAAACGATCATTGCAAACGTTGTGATAGGGATAGAGACATGCGATTTTTGGTTATACAAAGGTACGATAAAGAATAACACAAAGTAATAAAAACCACCTGTTATAGGGGCATTATTTGGAGAAATTTATCAAATAACCAAAAAAACACGAATTCAAAAGCAGATTTTTTTCAAAAAGTATATTTTTTTATTATTTTTTTGCATTTTTTGAGCATTTTATGTATTTTTTTTTTGTTTTGCCTATTATTTAGCATCATCACTGTTTTTATTTTATCAGGATCTACCTCTTAGTTTAAAAGTTATTACGTTTTCTTTACAATAAGTAATTGGAAGAAAAAAAGTTCTATAAAAAATTAAAAAAAAAACTAAAAGATGTTGACCTCTTTTTTGTCTATAATAATAGGTCTAGTTTCACCTTAATATTTATATGTGCACTATATCGTGACTCACACTGTGTATACGTTTTTTTACTATGTCCCGCTTCTGACGGAAGAGTCCCGCTATTTTCACTCAAAAAGTACCAAAGTCCCGACTTGGCGAAAAAAAAACTGGCAACGCTGATACCTACTCTGGGGAACTTTTGAACAAGGGATTATAAAATTACGTCGCTTCTCAAGTTGTCTAAAATAGTAGTGGAATCTACAAAATAATGTTAATAAATTCTTGTCTTTAGGATAAAGGGACGAAGGTTTGTTGAACTCTAAGGACCATAATAAAATAGAATCAAATGTAGAGCTGTTCTATTCTGTAATAATATTATAGCTTACCAAACTTAGGCACTAGGCAGTTTTTTTAAATACAACTTACAACGTTATCCGACTGGCCGAATCGAGACCCGAGGAACGCGGGTTCGAACCCTGCGTCGCTATAGACTATTTTGTGGTAAATTATCCACTCGCGTAACACAAGCATATATTTATTTAGTATTACATGCCAGAGACCTCAGACCATAGTATGATATCATATCTGAGTATGGAACTAATGTTGATAGTTAGCAGTTAGCTTACATTAACAGCCATGGGGTTAATGGAACTGAGGTGAAATAAATGGTTGTTCGAGATGTCACCCACAGCACAACACAGTCAGTCCCTTTTAAAAGAGAGAGTGAATTGGAGAAGCCGAACAATGAACATAATACTCAGCTAGTGATGGGCCGACTATGGTCTTTGCCGACTAACCGACTAGCCGACTAATCGGTTTTCAAATTGCCGACTAGTCGGCCGACTAATCGGCAATGACGATCATTCTAATACCTACTTGTCGGAAGATTAATATGTAGATTTTTTAAAGAAATAAGAATAAATCTACATTTATTAAAGAAATAAAAATATCTAAATTTCTTGAGAGAACTTCTTAGGTAATAAGACTTCTTAAAAATATGAAAAATATACATTACTGCAGTACCTAAGGTAGATGTCATCATTTTCGACGCAGGAGAGGTCAGAGGAGGTGACAATATGATCGCCTCCTGATACTCCACGGTAATGGTCAGCGAGCTGAGGGCGTGGGGACACGCCCGCATTGCACGGACCACCACCAACCGTAGGAGTAGGCAGCAGAGCCCGCCTTGCAGGCGGGCAATTGCCGGGAGAGACTGTGTTAGATGATGTTTTTGTCTGGATTCCTATAGCTTTTTTTCGTTTTTTTATTCGTAACAACTAACAAGCTAACTAACTGCCTAACTCTCGCCTTGAAAAAGCTCGGATTATAATGTTCGGGAAAGACAGCAGCAGGCAGCGAATTCCAGTTGTTCGCATTATAAAAGAGTTATCAGTAGTTATAATTAATTACGCTTAGTGCGAGCTGGTGGAACGTCGACAATCTGGGAATGGTAGGTCTAACCTGCGTCTGGTTCCCCGCACTAAGGCGATTGACGGAGCACAGGGATTATTTTAGTGGGTAGTATGTAATAAGCCATACCTTTCGGCGAGAGGAGCCCCACATAGCCTACCCTATCCCCGCAGCGTAGTTATTAGAGATGGGCCGACTAGTTGCCGACTAGTCGGGAAAGCCGACTATTCGGTATAATTTGTAGTCGGCCGATTAGTGACGACTATTTGGCAAAATATGCCGATTATAATCGGCGCATTACAAAATTAAATATGTGAATGAAATAAACTCATAATCACCAAGATGATTATGAGGTAGACCAAGGACGTTTATCTAAACCAGTTTTGACTGCAAAAAATCAGTAAAAAGTGGTTTCACCTGATTCAAAATTTTGGCAATCAGTCTAAATTCATACAAAGTTAACATTACTTAAAATTACCAGGAAATCATCAAAAATGTGTAAAGTTTAATGTATTTGTCCAAAATTATGACACTTTTTTCGGGCAAAAAATGCATGATATTGCATACCTATCCTGCGGGGAAGTGGTATATTCTTCTCATCGGGAGGATGAGGAATACCCACATAAATAACCCCTGATATCGCCTTAGTGTGAAGAACTATGGGAATCCGGACAAAGCCATCAACTATCACAGTCTGTCCCGGCAATTGCCCACCTGTATGGCGGGCCCTGCCTATCCGACGGTGGTGGTAGTCCGTGCTATGCAGGCGGGGGTACCCCCACGCCCTCAGCTCGCTACCATCGCCGTGGAGGGTGGAGAGGAATCAGTGGGCCTAGAATACGTGCCGNGGACTATTTTTTAAATATCTAAATATTTGGTAATAAGTAGGATTATAGCTATAATTCTTCGTTATCTTAAAGATTAATATTCATACTTCAAAATTGTGTGTGTGTTTTTTTTTGTGTGATGATTTATAAATATAAAACTTTTGAACTGTTTCAAGGCACATTTTTTTTTTCAAAATGTACATTTTTTTTGAGAAATACTCATTTATCTGTTTAGAAGTCGAAGAAAATCTAGATAATTTATTCTTCGGACAAGTAGGTATTAGAATGATCGGCATTGCCGATTAGTCGGCTAGTCGGTTAGTCGGCAAAGACCATAGTCGGCCCATCACTAGTAGTTATGCAATTCCATGCATATTTTCCCCGAAAATAAGTTAAATAAGTGTCATAATTTTTTTATGGACAAACTAGCTTTTTCCCGCGGCTTCACCTGCATAAAATTTAGTTTGTCACAGATCTTCATAAATTATAGCCTACTAGCTTTCCGTCCGCGGCTTCGCCCGCGTGGAATTTTGTCTGTCACAGAAAAACTTTATCGCGCGCGTCCCTGTTTCAAAAACCGGGATAAAAACTATCCTATGTTCTTTCCCGGGACTCAAACTATCTCTATGCCAAATTTCATCAAAATCGGTTGCGAGGTTTAAGCGGGAAAGCGTAACAGACAGACAGACAGACAGACAGACAGACAGACAGACAGAGTTACTTTCGCATTTATAATATTAGTTGGGATATAGTTGGGATTTGTTATTCTGGGATATAAACAATAATACTGTAAAGTTTTATCAAACACCGTTCAGTAGTTTTGCGTCCATACAAACTTTCACATTTATAATATTAGTAGAATCACACGCATATTTTTGATGATTTACTGGAAATTCATGTACATTTTACTAAACATAACTTTGTATGAATTTAAACTGATTGCTAAAATTTTAAGTCAGGCGAAACCACTTTCGACAGTTTTTTTGCAGTCATAAGTGGTTTTGGAAAACACCCTTGGTCTACCTCATAATCATCTAGTTCTAGCCTCTAGCTAGGTGATTATGAGTTTTATTTCATTTAATATATTTAATTTTGTTTTTTTTTTTCATTTGTTATGTGGTCGCCGACTAGTAACCAACTAGAAATGATGCCGAATAGTCGGCTTTCCTGACTAGTCGGCCCATCTCTACCAGCACCCTTTATAAAAACCATTGACCGTAAAAATTCACTTATTTTATTAAAATTAGTATGGTGTGATATGGTCTTTTTCACTTCAGTAAAATCATACAGTGACATCTAGCGTCAAGTAGTGAAACTATTTTCTGTTACAACTCACGAGTAACTTTTAGTCTTTACGACCTCTAGCGTTGAGGAGATGAAACAACTTGTATGGTCGTACAACTTGTAGAGAAGTTCATGTCTATAAATGTAGATGTCACTTTTTATGTATTTCGTAGAGCGTAATCCATAAAAACTTGTACCTACTTTCGTTTAACTTTCGTCTTCGAATCGTTTGCGTATTCGACAAACTTCGATACTCAACCTTCGAATAAAACGATGACGTGACGAATTTTGATTCTCAAAATAAGTTCGTCAATCATTTCTCATACTAAGATCACTTTACGATACATGTTCACAAAGGTGCTGTTGTAGTTTTCGTACTAAATATTTTTTGATGACGATTCGAATACGCAAACGATTCGAACTCGAAAATTTTTCGTGCTTATATGAACATTTTCGTTAATAAATTAACGAGTTGATAAAAGTTGAATACTTATTAGAATTTACTTGTGACAAATTCGCGCGGGGAAATTAAAACCACACATAATATAAACATCTTTTTTTATTCCAACTTATAACCATACATAATATACACAGTACAAAAAAAACTTGCTTTCGTCTAATACAGCAATAAGGACAAAATGAAATTGTCACATATTTCGTTATCTATCATTTTGTAACATACTAACCAAATTGAGAAATCTAATAATAGGAGAAACTTATCTACACGCCGTGTTTAATGTACAATGCTTCGAGCGAATACGTTTTACTTCAATATAATAACTTAAAAGTATACACTTCTTAATATGTACTCGATGGAATTCGAATTAAAAATTTACACAATACATACATATCACTATAGCTACAATTAAGCTGTAATAAGAAGAGTTTATTTGTATTTCGATTAAGGAACATAAAACATATCCACATTTCAACGATATCACGATAATCAGACTAATTTACATTGCACGAACTCCGATCGCGACCGTCGGACAAATCACATTTCGAGTACATTTACACACATAACTGGTACACATTCCACTCGGACGCTTAAAAATGGCATCTTATACACGAAACGGCGCACAGCGCGTATCACACTCGCTCCCAATCTTACGTTAAATGCGGAACTTAGCGATTAATGTTACGTCGAGGTTGAGATCAAACGCGGGCGGCGCCGGGCCTACTCGGCGGCCTCGGCGAACGCCTCCTCCAGGCAGCACAGCGAGTCCTTGACCGCGTGGTACACGATGTTCTTGATCTGCAGCTTGTCCTCCTTGTTGGAGTGCTGGTGCGACAGCCGCCGGAACTGCTGCGCCAGCTCGAAGCAGCGCGACACGTTCTCCGGCGACACGAAGTCCTCGGCCACCTTGATGCAGTCCAGCAGGTTGCGCACCTGGTGCGGCGCGCCGGCCGGCACGAAGACGGCGTCGCCCGGGCACTGCAGCACGGCGTAGCCCTCCACGCCGTACTCGCGGTACAGGCGCTCGCGCAGCGCCGCGTCCAGGTACCACGTCTGGTCGTGCACCGGGTCGTGCGCCGCGCGCGGCCGCGCCCCGCGCTCCAGCTCGGCGCGCACCAGGAAGTCGCGGATCTTGTCGGCGTCGCGCGCCGCGTAGATGTGCCACAGCGCGGCCGGCGGGCGCACGCGCGCGCGGCGCCGCGACAGCACGTCCACGCCGGCCTCGTCGGCGGCGCGGGCGGCCTCGCGCGCGCGCTCGGGCGCGTCGGCGGGCGCGCTGGCGTGCACCATGACGTTGACGGCGTCGCTGACGTCGAGGTGCAGGTTGGTGGTGCCGCCGGCGCCGCCGTACGCGGTGTACATCTTGGGCCCGAGGTCGGGGCGCACGAAGCACTCGGGCAGGCGCGCGGCCAGGTTGAGCTTGCCGTGGCGCGAGGTGTACTCGGCGAGCGGCAGCGCGCGCATGAGGTCGTCGAAGCGCGTGGGCAGCAGCTCGGCGAAGTCCTCGCCGGGCGGCCAGTCCTTGAGCTTGAGCACCATGGGCGCGCCGCGCTCGTCGCGCAGGCGCTTGGCGGCGAGCTCGAAGCCGTCCCAGAACTTGCGCGCGGGCTGGTTGGGCACGACGAGCCCGGACGCGCAGTTCACGAGGTCCACGCGCGTGTCGCCGAAGTCGCGCGAGAAGCTCTCGGGGCTCCACAGGTCCTTGTCGAGGATCGTCGACACGTCTGAGACTAGAACGGGTTGGCCGCGCTTCCATTGGTCCTGGAACAACGAGAGGAACATTATAAATCTATCGAAATCCACATCATCTTGCCTTGTCATCATCAATCTGGTTACTAATTTCAAGTCGATATTTTTTTTTATTAAATACGATAGGAAAAGGAACGTAACGAACCTGGAAGGGCTTATAGTTGCCAGCATGCGTGGGGTCGGTGAGGTGCAGCAGGCGGCCGTCGCACAGCCAGGCGTGCGGCACGTCGGGATACAGCAGTTTGGACTCCGTGAGCGTCATGATCCGCACGGGCAGGTCATCGCGCCCGCGCCCGCCGCGCTCGTAACGTTTCACCACATTCGACAGCGCAAACGGCTTGGAATCCTCATCCTCATCTTTTTTCTCATCCACAACACTAGATATCACATCGTCTAACGTATCGCCTTTGTTCTTCTTCTGCTTCTTCTTAGGCTGGGCCTCCCCGCCCTCGGGCGCCGGTCGTATCAACAACTCCCGGAGAGTCGAGAAGTTCCCGCCCTCCTCCGAATCGGAAGAACTAGAGTCGGATTTCTCCTCTTTTGTCTCGGTCTTCAAGGGTATGTCCGACAGCCAGCTGACGACACTATTACTAGTTTTCCCGTTTTCTGATTTGACTGGTGAAGAACCGTTTGTAGACGCGTTTTCTTCTTTGACATCCTCCTTTTTGATGTTCTGTGAATAAAAAACATTTTATTAAATATAATATTATGACATCATAATGGGTGAATGTGTTAGACAAATAATTTTTAACCCATATGCGCATGTTAATGAGGCTTAACAACAACTTTATGTTTTTAGATCGATTTTAGAGTAATTGAAGAATGTTTTGCATTTTCACACTCACACAGAGTACTTTTGCATAATTTCATTAAGTTTTCCTTTAACAAGTATCATTTTTGTAAGTTTTTCTTGTTAATGCTACAATGTACTTGTTGGTGATCAAGTAAGTAAATAAATCAATATTGCAGTTCTTTTTAGGTCTCAAAAAAAGACGCTTGTTATTTTTAACGTCGTTGATTGAGACGGGGTCCCGTTTTGAGATATCGGTCTAATGTAAAAATCAGATTGAGGGTTTTCGCGAATGAAAGATCCGCTAGATGGCGGGACGTGGATGTGGGGTCTGACTGCTGCGTGATTGGTGGATTTTGACATATCTGTCAATGTCATGTCAAAAATATCAATATTCAACTAAAAAAGTGGTTGATCAAGCAGGCGTTCTATAAAATTGACGAACTGTTTGGAATTTAATTATTATTGACACTGTTACCCACTATTTATTTTGACATTTAATTGACATTAATTCTATTTGTATTATTAATTTATTTGGACACTAGCTGACCCGGCGAACTTCGTACCGCCTTAGCGTAGAGATTTTCTTAATATTTTTTTCCGTAAGAACCATCCTTGGACTTCCACAAACATTAAAAAAAAAGAATTATCGAAATCGGTTCAGCCGTTCACACGTGATGCCGTGACAACGCGAAACGGGTTTCATTTTTATATATATAGATGATGTGTATTTCATTCTTATTAATACTGCAATTTGTTTATTATTAATAAGAAAATATATTGAAAATTTGACATGTAATGAACATTATGAATAAATTTCTTATTCTTATTCTTATTCTTATCTGTCAATGCATTTGGACCTCGCGTCTACGTATTGCCATCTGGCGGATTTTTCATTCGCGAAAACCCTCATTACACGCGCAACAACCCACCTTATTTAACGCTCGGTGCAGCAGATGCTTAGCGGCTTGTTTATGAGCGGGCGCGGGCGCGGGATGTAGGCCACAGGCGCAAGCGGGCAGCGACCAGGCCGCGCGCGCCGCGTGCGCCCGCGCCGCCGCCGCTGCCAACGCTCCTCCCGCTGCGATCTGCGTCAGCAGCAGCCGCCGGGCCGGGTGAGCGCCGCCCGAGGTGCACGTCAACCAGCTGGGAATGGAATTAACAGGTTAGTCAAGATAGGAAAAAGAAAAATAATTTATCTAAAGCCTGGTCCGTGAGCACGTAGAATTTTGTCCAATGACCCCAAGCTACCCACACTCACTGCAGGCGCCCGTCGCACAGTCGCGACACCAATATAATGAGGGCTATCGTTTTAGCGCTCACCAGTTAGCGCCACTGTAGAGTAAGGTCCTGTCACTTGCTAGTAGCGAAGACAGTGGCACCAACTGAGCGCGAAAGTGGTAGGAGGACTATCGCATTTGCACTCATCAAGATAGCGCCAATGTAGAGTAAGGTCCTGTCAATCGCCAGGGGTGCCAACTGTTAAGTATAAAAACGATAGCCCTCATTACGCGCGAGCGATAAGGATGGGTAGCTTGGGGTCATTGGACAAAATTCTACGTGCTCACGGACCAGGCTTTAACACAATATCAGATAGTAGTGGCCGCCCGCGACTTCGTGCGCGTGGATCCCGTTTTACCCCCTTTGAGGTGGAGTTCGTAAAATTCGTTTTTATTGAGCACCTACATTCTAAAAGGAACCTCCATGCCAAATTTTAAACTCCTGGCACTTGTAGTTTCAGTAGTCAGTCATCAGCGTGCGAATATGACGCTGGTATTCTGTAGTTCATTTATTTAATTTATTCATTTAATCTATTCCCACTGCTGCAATTCCTGTATAGCCAGGATCTTGGCAGGATCAGGCTTGATCGACAAAACCCAAGCAGTGAAGGTCAAGTATATACAAAGGTCATCAGGAAGTAATTTAATCTCCTCTACAGAAGACGAAGGCAAATAGAGAATTTGTCCTACATTTCTTGAGTTTCGCATAATTGAGTCTAGTCGCTTTTGCAACACCTACGGGAAACTAGAGATGTTGACAAGAAATTGTCCATATGATTTTAACAACTTATTTTCTATAAAAATATAAAATAAATTCAACTTACCCGAAGGAATCTCTTTCGCCATTGCTGCTAACATTAGTAGTATTATTTGTTTCATTGGTATTGTTACTTGACTCACTGCCTGATGTCCTTGACTGCAAACAATAAGAAAACATGTTATGTTAATTTGATACTCTTGTAAACAGGTGCGTATTAATAAATAGAGAATAACTTGCTAGAAATCTCCAAATAAGAATAAAACATGATGACAAGCAAAAGACATTAAATTTTTTTTTTTTACTAATGAATGTTAGAAAAACATCTTCGAATAGAGTTATAAATGACACAATAGAGAAATAACAGTGTGTGACACTAAAAATGTGAATTTACCGTCTTCAATAAAATAAACATTTATATTGTATAGAATTAAAGGCTCACCTTATAGCAATCTAAGCAGACGACGAAGCCGCATTTGCCGCAGGTCCAGTGGAAGTTGAAGAGCGTCGTCTCACAAACGTCGCACATCTCCCGAACCCCTTGTACCACGCGCTTCCATGCAATCGTCTTATCTGTAAGAAACAATGCTCATTAGATCCCGTTTTAAGCGATAACTGTTTGATTAAAGATTTCACAATAAAATGTAAATTATTAATGTCATTTGTTTCATTTACTAACCGTCATTTAAATGGTGCGATTCGGCCTCTTTTTCTTGTTGTAGCAGTTCACAGAACTGGTCTCCAATCTCCCTCAATAGGAAGCAACTCATTTCTATATCTAATTCCGCAGCTCCGGCGGATGATGACAGCCATAATTTTTTATCCTCCTGCAAAGAAGAAATACATTTTATTGCCATTTGTCGGAACAGAACAACAAATAATAATTAATGAACTTTAGAAAGCAAGATGACGTTCAAAATGCTCAACTCTATTTAACTGGGTTTATCGAGCTTCTAGTTAAGTTACATGTAGCACGTCAACTATTGGTGAGCGAATATGATCACAGTAAAGAAAGACAATTACCTCATCAGCGTCCTTGTACGGGTCCGAGAACCCGGCTATAGCTAGTTGCCTATTCTTGGCGTACTTCAGTCTTCGGAAAGCGTAGAAACGGCAGAAGATGTTCGGCATGTCCTTGTCGCGCTGCGCCGGCGACCAGCGGCACTCGCGGCACTTGGCCAGGCGCGGCGCCACCTCGAAGCACGGCCCGTTCTGCAGGAACGACTCGCCGGCGGGGCGCGCGGGCCCGGCCGGCGGCGCGCGGCGCGGCGGCTCCGGGGTCGTCGCGCGCGACGCCCAGGTCGAGCGGCTGCGTCTGGCACGGCGAGGCGAGGCCGGCGTCGCCGTGCGCGCGCGGCGGCGGGCGCGGCTCGGGCGTGCGCGCGTGCGCGACGGGCGGCGGGCGCGAGCGCGGCGCGGGCGAGTAGGCGGACGGCGGCGGGTAGGGCACGGGCGGCGGCTCGGCCTTGGCCAGCGGCACGGGCGGCTCGACGGCGACGGCGTAGTGCGCGGGCGCGGACGAGCCGCCGGGCTTGCCGTAGATGTGCGGCGGCGCGGGGCTGGACACCTTGGGCCTGGCGGGCGGCGCGGCGGGGTAGTAGGCGGGCGAGCGCGGCGGCGGCTGGTAGAGCGGCCGGCGCGGCTTGTCCTGCGCGGGCAGCGCGGCGTGCGGCGAGGTCTGCAGCGCGGCGTGCGGGTGCGCGGGCGCGTGCGGCGAGAGCCCGGTGCGGTAGGGCCGCGAGGGCAGGTAGTGCGGCGAGGGCTCGCTGCGCGGCTTGCTCGGGTACGGGTGCTTCTGCTCCAGGTGGATCTGTTTGGCGTCGTGTTTGACTATCACAGAGTTCTTTTCCGGCACCAGCGGCGGGGGCGCCGGCAGGTGCTGTTCTTTTAACTTATCGTAGGATCTATAGGTGTAATTGTAGGGCGCGAAGTTGGGTTCGCCCTTGGGGAGCGAGGGATGAGGGGGAGGTTTGTCCTGTTTGGACGATATCGAGAGGCGGGAGTGGTAGTCGGAGGGGGAGGGCGCGGGCGGCCTGGTGTTGGGATGCGCAGGGTGCGCGGGGTGCGAGGGGTGCGCGGGCGGCGAGTAGTAGGCGCGGTCCGGCGGAGGCGCCCGCAGCCGCTCGTGGTCCCCCGCCGCCCCCCTACTAGGCGCCAAGCTGTTCAGAAGCGACCACGACATTCGTTCCCGCTGCAAGAAAATAAGACACAAATTAGCCATGAATTATTTGAAAACGTTGATTAATAAACTAGGTTTAAAAAAAAAGACCAAAAAAAATGTTTCATTTACTGACCTTCTGATTAGCAAGCCTAAAGGATTCTTCGAAATGCCTCGAAACTAGCTTGGAGGCAGCATTTTCTTGGTCTCGCCTCTCCTTCTCTTCCCGCTCATGCTTTTCCCGCTCGCGTTCCTTCTCCCTCTCCCTCTCTCGCTCTTGCTCTATTCGTTCTCTCTCTTTTCTTTCTTTCAGCTGCTTCTCCAACTCTCGTTGCTCCTGATCTCTTCTATCACTGTAACGAAAAGAAAAACTACGATAATGACGACGCCCAAGAAAAGTATGTTATTGGAGCTTTCTTGCCGCATAGGTGATTAATTAATTAATTAATGAAAAATGAGTACAATTGAATTACAATATTTGTGCCTATTCCAAATGGGTGAGCTCAATATGTAAATAATGGCACCTATATAATTAATTATCAACAGTCAAAGACACTAACTAAAAAAAAGTAGGTCAAGGTCAAACTAAACTTAATAATAGAAAAAATTATCACCAAACAATAAAATTGTGATTATGATTTGTGTTTTGGGTGGTTTAAATATGATTAGATTCCTCTTTAACATATCTATATAATTTTAATAATTTAATGCTATTGCCCCTTGGCTTCGCGCCTTTTAGTGTTTCACCAATTAGATACGCTTATGTCACACTCAGCCCTGTATGTATTCTTAGATTAATAAAGCCCTGTAGCAGCCTGTACCACAAGGAAGGGCTTCAAAATATTCAGTCCAAAGTTATACTAGAATGAAACCATACATGCGATCACTTCCTCTTGTCTTCATTGCTTAACTACGAAAGTACGTAAAACTTTTAAATATCCTGACACACTATTGTAATTACAGTATTTTTGTAGTGTAGCCCGTTTAACATAACATTATAAATAACTATAATCAAGAATTTGGTTACATGTGTATCAAACAAGCTGAAAATGACGCACACCATGTCAAAAAACGTTTTTGACAAGTTTGACAACGCTGTAACAAAGACAACACAAATTAATAGAAAGAGTTTTTAATAAATATTGATCCACGTGTTACCGCTTTTTTAATTGCAATGCGTTCTCTTGTTTCGGAGTCTCAATAATAATTATAGGATAGAGATGCTCATTTAATCGAGACTAAAGGCAAATTAAAATGATTGAATTTAAACATAATTGAATCGCATGCTTGATGCGTGATATTTACGTATTTTATGTAATTTCAGGTATATTTAAAAGCAAAATTACAGATTCATAGAACGAAAATCCTACTAATATTATAAATGCGAAAGTTTGGATGTCTGGATGTTTGTAACTCTTTCACGCAAAAACTACTGAACGGATTTTGATGAAACTTTACAGTATTATTGTTTATAAAAATAACATAAATAAGGCTATAATTTATGACGATCTGCGACAGACTAAATTTCACGCGGGTGAAGCCGCGACCAAAAGCTAGTATTAAAATAAATCAAAAGGAAAACGTTATCAGTGACGAAAGTAGGACTTGAGTGATTTTAAGTTTCATGTAAACTTTTTATTCAGAAATTAATACCTACGTTCTAGCATGCATAATTCAATTGTTAAAGTTTTAAGTATGAGTCAAGGTCAAAGAATATGAAGAAGAATTAGAATAAAACTTATCTAAAAATATTTTAAGCATAATTTGATGATTCATAAAATAAATTATTATTAAAGTATATTGGATTATTACGAGAAACCTGCACTGGCTTCACTTGTTAAGGTTCGCTTATAATGTTAACTTACGAAACAGAATTGACAAAAGATAAGATGGTTAAATTAAGGATTAGAATGAATAATACCAAGTAAACAATAAAAGTAAAAGTAATTTTTAAGTAAATTGCTACTAAAGTTACATACACAGCAGGTGCAGATGTTGATAATTCAGTTTAGTTTAGACAAATACATAATCCGTAATTCAAAACGGCACATATAAATGCTTCAATCTAAGCATTACATTGAAACGACCTCTAAGTTCATCAGTCAGGGCAGACTTGAGAATTTCAACGAATCTATACTAATATTATAAAGCTGAAGTTATGGAANTGTAGTTGAACGATGGTAGCGCCCCCCTGTCATTGAGTTTGGCGGGACAGTTCAGCGTGGGTCATCTATATCAATGAAGCTGAAAATGACGCACACCATGTCAAAAAACGTTTTTGACAAGTTTGACAAGACTGTACCAAAGACAACACAAATTAATGGAAAGAGTTTTTATTAAATATTGATCCACGTATTTATAAATGCAATGCGTTGTCTCGGAGGCGTAGAACTGAACTTCCGAGAAGGAAAAGATTGCTGGTCTATCCAAGCAGATCAAACGATTGCGGCTCTTGCTTGAGATTAATACATTATTGGAAAGCAGGTAGGAGACCACTCTACAGTAGATTAAGATTTGAAGATTGCTAAAATCTTTGGATAGTAGATCAAAATTATGGAAATCGGGCGTAAATGAGCATCTAGCAAATAAATGATTGAATTAAAACATAATTTAATCGCATGCTTGATGCTTGATGCGTGATATTTACGTAGTTTATGTGATTTCAGGTATATTTAAAAGCAACATTACAGATTTATAGAACGAAAATCTTCTTACTAATATTATAAATGCGAAGGTAAGGTTTGGATGTCTGGATGTTTGTTACTCTTTCACGCAAAAACTACTGAACGGATTTTGATGAAACTTTACAGTATTATTGTTTATAAACCAGTAGGCCTAAAATGCGCACCGTGATAACTTTTATCGACGTCAAAATGTATGGGCAAAATCGATAAAATTGCGTGATAACCACTTATCGCGGCGCGCATCTTAGGCCTACAGAATAACATATAAGGCTATAATTATGACGATCTGTGACAGACTAAATTTCACGCGGGTGAAGCCGTGGGCAAAAGCTAGTATTAAAATAAATCAAAAGGAAAACGTCATCAGTGACGAAGAAAAGACTTGAGTGATTTTAAGTTTCATGTTAACTTTTTATTCAGAAATTAATACCTACGTTCTAGCATGCATAATTCAATTGTTAAAGTTTTAAGTATGAGTCAAGGTCAAAGAATATGAAGAAGAATTAGAATAAAACTTATCTAAAAATATTTTAAGCATAATTTGACAGGATACAAAAATAGCATGTGTGCTGCTGAATATTTACATAAGAATGTCCATATTGACCTTTATTTGCTTGCTAAAAATTTTCAGTAAAATACCTACGCTTGGGCGTGCTACGTTTAGCACGTAGTAACCTTAGAAATATTTAAAAACGGATTTTACCCGTAGAAAGAACGATTCATAAAATAAATTATTATTAAAGTATATTGGATTATTACGAGAAATCTGCACTGGCTTCACTTTTTAAGGTTCGCTTATAATGTTAACTTACGAAACAGAATTGACAAAAGATAAGATGGATAAATGAACAATTAGAATGAATAATACCAAGTAAACAATAAAAGTAAAAGTAATTTCAAGTAAATTGCTACTAAAGTTACATACACAGGTGCAGATGTAGATAATTCAGTTTAGTTTAGACAAATACATAATCCGTATTTCAAAACGGCACATATAAATGCTTCAATCTAAGCATGACATTGAAACGACCTCAAAGTTCATCAGTCAGGGCAGACTTGAGAATTTCAACGAATAATTTGATAAAAATAAAAACTAGCGATAACAATTAACTATTATGATTTATTTATAAGTTTTCCTAAAATAATAATCAATGAGATCAATCAAGCCGAAACCGACCGGCATGGCTGACGAATATGATCGCTGAAGGTCATTTTATTTATGTACTAAATCGACACCCACGCTCGAATACAAACGGCGGATACAGATTAACATATACTATGTGTATTTTATTTAAAAGCGAAGGTTTTTACATATTATTATGTACTTACATAGTCAAGTAGCAAGTAAACTAATTTGGCATTCGATTGGAAGGGTGCGCACGCGTCTACTACGTGTCCATAAATGAACGTTTAATTTTATTACATAGCTAATTTTGTTCTTGGGATATCTCAATACACCACACATTGAGGTAGGTCAGGTATTGCGGTCAGTAACAATAACAACAAGATTATTCTATTACAAACTAAGTTACCTTGCGAATTACGAATAACAAACGAAAATCACTACAACCGAATATCCTCCATCTAAAAATATCTTAAATTTTGTTCATGTTCATCATATTTTGTCTATCCTTGTCCAAGGTCATATTATAGAGTCGGCGAACAATGTTCAGCTCTATAAGGCTAAATCCGTCAGTAAAAAGTAGTATAAAAAGGGCATGACTTTACAAAAATTAAATAGACGTTGAAATTGAATATTCACTGTTTAAATCTCTTCTAAAAATATTTGAACCAGATCAATTATGCGAAATTAATAAATCGAGTAAGAAAACAAATCACTAAAGGTCATTTGATTACTACACTGTTACGATAATGATACCATCTATCACTAAACAAGTAGATGTGATACACAACAGTAAGTATACTAATTTGAAATAAAAGGCACTTATTAAGTATATACATATAATTTACTGTTAATTACTCACCAAATATTACTTACTATTAGAACTATTAGTGCAATAAAAACTAATAAACAGCAATTATGTAATGTAATGAATATAATTATTCTGTTAAGTAGGGAAAATATGAATATTAAGAACCGTATACATCGATTTTTTTTTCAGCCGCCGCGCCGTCGACACATGTTTCATGCAAACGGAACGCGCTGTTATCTCTATTTTTTTATTTTTTTTATTCATAAACACGATTAATTAAATTCTAAATGATTTTAGAGATTATTGTTATAGAAAAGCACTGATGAGGATTTGATTATGCCAAGGCTTGAGAAGTCTGAAAAACAAAACACCATCCATACCTATTACCACAGTCAGCAAAATATTTCAGTAAATGCTTGTTAAAACAGCTTGCTATGCATGGATTCTAAGGCTGAGTAGAACCAACTTACTTTAACCGTAACTGTAACAATAACCGGTGTTTATAGTTTATAGTATGAGGATTGACAGTTATTGACGTTTGTTAAAGCTAAAGTAAGGTGGTTCAACTTAGCCTAAGAAATGAAGTATTGACTATTCGCTTTGTTGTTATAAATTATGTTAACCACCGTTAACACACATTAATTTGGACAAAACGACAGGGGAAACCCGTAGATTAGTGCACATTAAAGTGAAGTTACGTGATAGGATTAGATTAGAAGCATCATTCATGACAAG